ACCTATGTATACAGAGTGTTCAGGTATGTACAATTGGATATTACCCTTGTCACAACCTCACATGTATTAACATATTTATTCTTTTCCCCATGAGCAAACAGAATCAGAGAGGGGTGGCAGATATCCCAAACCACACAACTCATAAATAAGATAGTCAACTCTGAACCCAGAAGATCTGGCTCCAAGTCTTCCATATGACTCTATAATAGAGCCCATTTGGATTTCAGTAGCATCTACAGTAGATGAGTGAGCCTTCCTGAGTGATGGGAGATAGGGTGGGGAAAAGAGGCACAAAATAACACACCCAATTGGTAGTGATAAAGGGTCCTTTGTATCTAATTTGTTTGGAACAGCCAGTACTGGGAGGTGTGGTTGATAACGTCTGGCTACAGGAAAAAGACAGGTAGGAGCAAGGTAGAAGGTCAAAGCCCCAAGTTCATGGTGAAAAGAGAACTATAGCTCCTTGGAAATATTCAGTGCGTGGCAAAAGTTCTGCTGGAGGTAAGGAGATTTGTCAGGTTCTCCTAGGCCTGGTCTAGCTATCATCAGGGATTGAGTAGGATTGACCTGGATATGCTGGTACTGCCTATATTATTCTTTCCAGGTCAATGTTGATTTTCCCAAGGTCAAATCCTCCCTGAGATACCTATTTTGTGAGCTGTAGGAGTGGTAAACAGTATACATTTATATTTGTTTCTCATTTAATACTCCAGCATAGTTGTCCTGACTAGGTAATGTTTCATCCTGTGTCAATTTTAATTCCTGCAACCTTAAGCGAATATTTAGAATTTAGAAACTCAATCATAGCTAGATGTCTGTAGTGTAATTCCTGAAAAGGTATTTTATTAAGAACAAAGATTTTTAGCCACCTGAAAAACTAATCCATTTGTAAACTGTTCCACATCTGAAATGGTGAATCTCTCAAAACAGTTCAGAAAAAAAGCCTATATATATGTACAAGATAGCTAAGATAATTGTACTACTAATTTCTGTTCATTGAAAGGAACAGTTAATGCTTATGTTGTTTGACCAGTTTTGTGTGCTTATATCTGGTAAAATCTGAGCAACTAATTTGAAGACAACAGTATGCACTATAATAACCATTATTAATTTCCTATCGTCTTGTTTTGAAATTTTGTATCTTTTTATTGCTTTTTCTCTCTTTAAAAAATAATTCAGGTGCATGTGGTTGTCTTTTAAAACAATCCAAGATTTAAAGAAATAGCCCCTACCCTTGAGAGAAACATACCCCGGTCTCCCATTTGATCTCACTTACCAAAGAGAAGTTCTCAAAGTCTGATGATTTCGCAAATTCATTTGAAGGAGTTTCAGCGATCTGTTTGTTTATGTTTTAAACAAGCAATAAATGATACTCATTTAATTGAAGGTAACAGTTTATATCACAAATATACCCACTTTAGAGGAATTTACTCTTTCTACCTTTTAGAAGCCCTTTATGTTTCTAGTTTACAACTGGTCTCCTTACCCCAGAGCTCTGCATCCATATCCTGAGGGGGAAAAACTGTGTCTGTATTGACCAGGAACAAGCTTTTTCCTGGCCATTATTCCTAAATAATATAGTATTGCAACTGCTTACACAGCACTTGCATTGTATTAGTACTATACAAATGACTTAAAGTACAGAGCAAGATGTACATATGTTACTATTACATGCACATACTCTGCCATTTTCTATAAGGGACTTGAGCAACCAAAGATTTTGGTATGGGGAGGGACCAATCACCTCCAAAACCAGGGAAAACTGTATTTCCATTTGGACCAGATTTAAGGGTTGGTGAACACATGGATGAATAGGCTGTAGCATATTATTTTGTTCTAGTGTTCTGATATATAGTTTCACCCAAGCATTGTAAGAAATACAACAGTAACCTTCATATCTTATTACTCTTATGCTTCAGAATTGTAATTACCTATCTGGAAAGTGGAAATAATACTACTGTACAGGTCTGATTCATACTCCACCAAGACCTGAACCTCCTATGAGTATCTTTGGTCCCCTAATGCTATACTATGGGGTAGGGATGCATTCTAATAATAATAATAGTTATTATTAATAGTTATATATATAATAATTATAATTAATAATGCTAGTTATTATTAATAATGGTAGTTATTATTATTATGCCCTGAGATGTGAAATGTTACAAATAGAATCACTTATTTTTAAATATAGGTGAAAATAGGTGATTCTTCTCCTAATTCTAAAGAATTCTAGTACTACTCAGTTAATTATAACCAGAGCAGCGAAGTCACAGCTAGGGGGAGAGTTCAGCGGTGGAGCATTTGCCTGGAAGGCACAAGCCCCTGGGTTAAACTCCCAGCACTGAAAAAAAAAATGTTTTAAATATAATACACAAATTAAATGTTATACAAGTAGATATCCTGTGCCAAATATAAAATAAGTAGTCATTGTTTCCTCTGACCATAAGTAAATGAGTATTCTACTACTCAGGATAAAGGCTTTATAAAAGTTGCATATTATAGTTAAAGAATATCTCTTAAGCATTTCCTGCCATAGAAACTGTTCAACTTTATAATAACAAGTATTACTGTAACACTTCTTTTGTCTTTGTTATGAATGCCATACTATACCATTATTTTATTTGTTTAAAAAGTTCATTATCTTTTGAAAGGGGTTAGATCATTAAAATGATATCTATAATATTAAAATAATATTTATAATATGCTTCTCTACATGTTTTTCTCTTTCAGTACTCAAAAGAGAGTAGCTGTCTTCTCTCTCGCATTATTTCTAATAAAATATCTACTGCCATCTTGTCCTTGTTAACTCTGTATATAATGTGTCTTCTTTCTCTGGTTGATTTTAAGATTTTCCTCTTTATCATTGGTGCTGGATAATTTAATTTTAACGTAACTTGGCATAGTTTTCCTTGTGTTTTCCATGTTTGGGGTTTGTTGGGCTACTTGAAAACAACTTTTCTTTTCTTTGAAATATTCTTCACATGTTCCCTTTGTTCTTTGGTATTTCTCCATTATAAAGAAGGGTACTTGGAGTTGTCCTGCTCACTGATGTGCTTTTCATTACTTAAATCATTTTCTCACCTCTGTGTTTTCTATCAGTATGTCTTCACCTTATTAATCTCTTCTCACGTAATCACCAATCTCCTGTTAATCCCATCCACTATACATTTGACCAGAGAAACTATAGTTTTCCTCCCTACAATTTCAATTCAGACAGGAGGTTTCATCTCTCCTCTAGCTTCTTAAACATATGGAATATCATCACAATAAACATGCAATGACCTTGTCCGATTGTCCTAACCTCAGTGTCAGCTCTAGATTAATTTCAATCAATGGGTTTCTCTCTTTGTTATGGGTCAAGTTTTCCCATCTCTTTACATTCCTGGTATTATTTATTAGATGCAAAGCATTGTGGATTTTATGTCTTGGATATTAAAATATTAGTATATTCTTAGAAATATTCTTGAGCTCAGATCTGGGACATGGCCGAGTTACTTGGAAATAAGCCTTTTAGGTTTCATTTAAGACATGTTAGGTTGGACCAGAACAACGTTCATCTTAGGTCTAATTATTCCTCACCTCTGAGTCAAGACGCACGAGAGTACCCTGCCTCTCAACCCCAACCTACAGCATGTGAATTGTGAGGTTTTCCAGTCTAGATGGTAAGAACATGCTCTGCCCCAGGCCTGGGGTGAGCATTGGGCAGTTTTCTTCAATTCTCTGAGGTGGTATTTTTCTTCAAACTTTTTTTTTTTGGTGGTGCCAGGGGTTGAACCCAGGGCCTCAGGCATGCAAGGCATGAGCTCTTCCACTGAGTCACAGCTCCAGGACCTATTATCTTCCATATTTAAGTCTTATTAATGTAGCAAGAAGCAATAGCTAGGTCAAAGACATTGTTACCTGCAGTTTGTTCCATTCCACAAACTCTCCCAGATTCAGATACTAAAATCTCATGCCCCTTGACTTCTAACTTTTAAATTTTTGAGACTGAATTAAAAAATATGAGGTTCACACGTCTCAATTTTAGAAAGTAAGGACTGCCCCACCAGTCTAGGTGCTGCTGTCAGTGGAGCAATTGTTCAAGGTTCAGTCTAGAACACCGAAGCAGTAGCTGACTCTTCTTCCCCCTTTGAAAACTTCTTTAACAGCTAGTTACCCAAACAGAAATAGATACCTCATTTCTCATTATCTAAGCATTACATCCACCAACATTTGGCTTTTTCCATTCATGCCCAATCTTTTACCCAAGCATAAACAAAGATCTTTCCTCTGCTGTGCATGTTCTAAGGAGACTCAGCCACATCCTCTGAAGAGATTTCTTATTGTAGCTTATGCTATGGTGCAGCTGGAAGCATTTCTGAGGGAGATGGTCCCATGATTTAATTTTTAGTACAGTGACCCTCTACAAGCTGCCTCTTCCCCCCCACACACACACCATAATGTAGCATAATACTTACATAAGATGTTACAAGTAGATTTGGAATCTCAAGTGTGCATGTTTGTGAGGTCACTACCTGCCTACACTTAACACTGTTTTTTCCTGTGACAGCAGCCGAAGTCTAACCATAAATGGGGACTAGTCATATAGTTAGAGTCCAGCTAAAGGTAGCAAAGTGTTCTTATGCAAAAATTAGTAAAAGGAAAATGAATATGTACGTATACACATAAATACAAACATTTTGGTCTACTATTGTTTTATTAAGGCATATGTTTCCTTCAGGATTTTCTTCCCCTTAGTAAAGGTTCAACTCAAAACTATAAAGTTACTTAATTTTAAGAGAAGTTAGTTTCTCTTTTTTACAGTTTTACTTTTTGTATCAGAAAGTAGTTTTCCACAAGTTCTCTGAGGAAAAAAAAAATCCTTGGAATTCTTTCATTCATTTGTACTTAAGGTTTATGGAAGATCTCTGACATGCCAGGCACATAGCAGGTCTGACCCCTGACATGTTGGTAGCATGTTTGCACCTTACTAATCACTGCTGTCTCTTTTCCCACAGGCACCAGGGTGGACAGAGCCAACAGTTGTCAGTCTGACAGCAGTGGGTTTTTGGAGGAGCCAGCGGAACCTCTGCCCCTCCAGGTAAAAGGGGTTGGCACAGGGCCCTGATTCCTCACCCCACACGCTCCACTTCAACCCTCTCAACCATTCTCCCAACCTAACTAGTGCATAAAGAAGAATAAGCTCTAAATGCCTACCACCATAGAAAAGATTAGAAGATATGCCACTTGCAACCAGTGGGGAGGTGATGGTGCAATCAAAGAAGACAAGGTTGCAGAACATACAGGGTTCCTTTCCTTTTAATTTTCTTCTGATTTTTCTAAACAAGGAAAGTGAGCGTCATAGAGAAGAGATGCTAGATGAAGTAGTAAACTGATACAGAAACTTGAAACTTCAGTTTGTAGCCTTTATCTCCTGACTACTGAATCAATGGTCATATTTATTGCCTTGTACTTCTTGCCTCCCCTAATTCCTGACTCATGTCCTTTGGCCCTGGTTTCTCCTACAGAGGCCTTCCTTGCCAACCAGCCAGAGTCCTACTGAGAATGGAGATAGAAAGTCTTGGGATCAGAGTCACAGCTCAGTGTCATCCCAGGACTGTCAGCAGCAGTCCAAAGGGCTTGGTTCCAAGAGCATGGTGAGCTCATCTTTGACAAGCCAAGACTGGAGTGTCTTGGAGGGAAAGACCTCAGCATCTGTGGTGAAGGAAGAGCCTCAGCTTGAGGCCACAGAGGGGCCGCAAGAGCTGTTGATCCCTGATATGCCCCTTGCCAAGACCACCACTTGGGGAGAACACCCATGGGAAGACAGCCATCTGCAGCAGCCCTCACCAACACCCAGTGCTGAATACGAGGGGGTTGGAGCCATAGCCACTTCCACAGTTGACACCCCTCAGGGGATTACAGTGACCCACATCACAGAACAGAAGAAAGGATCTCTGAGGCCTGAGGGAGATGGGGAAGTGCTCAGGCAAAGGCGCCACTGCGACTCTCAGAGGTCACCTGGAATTGATCAGACCCAGGTCAGTTTCCCTCAGAAGGGCTCTGATGTGCCAGTAGCAGAAGAAAGCAGCAAACACTGTCCTGACATCAATAACATCTTACTGGCACAAGAGAGGCCACCCCAGCACCTTCCCAGGCCCCGAGAAGTCATACCTTACAGATCTGACCTTGTTCAAGCACCTAACAAGTCCACTTCTCACTCCAATAAAGTGCTTGGAGATGCTCCCATGGACTCAAGCGCTGGCTGCTCCAGGTCTGTGACAACTCAGCTGTCCTCCAGTCTGGTGTCAGCTGCTCAGAGTGTTGTGGCTTTGGGCGTGAATTACAGAAGAACAGATACAGAATGTACTCTGTGTGGCCCTATGACTACAACAGAACTGAGAGAGGAGACAGAAGCAAGACAGGTCAATGATGTTTCTGTTCAGACTTACACATGCGAATCTGAGCCCTGCCATTGCTGTATATTCCCAAACAATGAAGCCTTCTCTCACGGACACCCACCCCTCACCAAATCGGTCTCTCTGGACACAAGTTTCCCAAGTGTTGACCTAATAGGCACTTGCCCCACCACACCCACTCCCTGCTGTGTCTGCTGCCATCACCATTTCCACAGCTGTGAGAAGAGTCTAGGCATTGGCCCTGCACCCTCTGCCAGCAGACATTGGCTGTGTTCACATGCAGAGCACATGGAAACCAAGTTCACGAAGACCTCTAGGGCTCTTCAGGATACGATCATAAGGGAGCTGTGTTCTGTAAGTGTTTTCCTCTGCAAAGATAGGAAGGCAGATGCACTAGTGACATCACCGTCACCTCAGGGGTAATGTTTGGCCTTCCTTTCTGAATGTGAGATCTCAGAACATGAGTACCTTCCATTTTAAATCATGAGAAACATTTGTAGAATGCCTTGTGTATGATATAGCCTCCCAAGTTGCTTCTTATTTGATGCTCCAATCATCTTTTGAAGTAAGGAGCATAAATTTTATTAACCCTCATTTTATAGAAAGAAAAACTAAGGCATGAGACAATAGATTCATACGTTCAAGGTTACAGCATGAATGCATCTGTCTCATCTCCTGTTCAGTCCAGCTGAGAAGTTCTAGGTCTTACGTTCATTTAACTGTGTGACCTTGCATGGGACATTTAATCTCCCTGAGCCTGTCCTATGAAATAGGAACATGATCCATGACATAGACACAGGATTGCTTTGAGATTAAATAAAATAAAAATTGTAAAGCATTCAGCACAGTCAGTGCAACACTTAGCACACTGTCTGGCACAGAAAAAACTTTAGGTGATATTCATTAACTGAGTGTTACCCCTACTGTCAATTTTATTACTGTTTTATAATGGCTGAGGGCTTGAATCTGGAGCTTCTCATGGCAAATATTGGGGCTTCTGGTATACCTTTGTTAAGCTTGTTTGAAGTGAACATTAGAGTTACAGAGAACTGAATGTCCTCAACCTTTTTTAGCCCTTGATTAGTCAACAAGTATTTAACGAGTCCTTGTAGCACCTCTCTTTAGCAGTTCTCAAGGTGAGAAATAATCTAGGCTTCCAAGACTAACAATTGGTTAAAATTTGAGACTATCAGACCTCAAACTACTTGTATAGCAAGTTAAAGGGGATTGGCAACAGATAATGTAGGACTGTGCCCATTTGAAGACAGTGAAGAAGAACTATGATTTACTGAATGAATACAATTTAGTTCATGTTGGGTCAGCTTTTTATTTTTTAATTTCACAAATATGTATTGGGTGCTTATGCTAA